TGTTTTGAAATAATTCTGCAAATATCCTTATGCAACTCTTTACTTTCAGTATTCAGAATTCGTTATTCTATAGTTGCGAAAGTTGCGGATAATAAAAAACAAATAAAATGTTACTGTAATAAAAAGAAACGAGAGTCGTAATTTCAAGCGTTAAAAATCTCTAAAACCTTGTGCGTACGAGATGAAGTTGCGAAAAAAGTGCACGGGATAAGGATCGTGCGATTATCGTACGTTATTCCGTACGGGAAAACGTCGGCCGACCCAAAAGCACACCAGAGTGAAACTCATCGAACACCCATTCCTCTTGCATCCTTGGACTCGATAAGAGAGACCGGAGAATTTCTGCCGAGTGCAAGACCTGGAATGCCAGGCATTCGCCTCAGGCAACATCGAGATTCGCTGTAAGGGACGTGCCAAGGTAGAAAATGATTTTAAGCATGTAATAACGCGGCTGTTCGGCGAAAACTATCGCCGTGTAAAACGCCGTGAAGTGGTCTCGGGAAAGAGATAGAGAATGAAAGAGAGAGAAAGAAAGAGAGAAAGGAAAAATGAAGAACGAGGCTTCACGAAATCGAGCCTGGCTAATTCTTCCCATGAAGTATTGTCTCCGCGTCGCAAAAAACATTGATTCGTCTCGATAGAAATTGATTCCATCCACTGCGGGAACAATTGGATCTTTAACAACGCGTTTTCAACGTTCCTCTTCACAAGTGTTCAATTTACAAGCGTTAATTTATAAATTTTTATAAAAAAATTAATTTTTATTTTTATAAAATTTTGTATCATTATTATTTCTAGCTTTGAGACAAAATTAACGAAAAGTTGATGCAGCTTAAATCAAATTTAAAAATTAAAATTCGTGAAAGTTTAAAATTCATCCCGAAATTTATTCCAATGTATACAATTGGATCTTTACGAGTTCTCAATGTATAATGTTCCTTTTTACGGACATTAAATTCACAAGAGTTAATTCGTAAGCTTTCACAAAATATTTTCTATCAAATTTTTGTATCATTATTACTTCTAGTTTTGAATAAAAAAAATAAATGAAAATGCAATGTATGATGAAAGTTATACGAAAGTTAAAATTCATACAAATAAATTTCTAGTAGAAATGAATTAAATTGAAATTCATCACATAATTTCTTATTAAGAGAAACGATGATGCATCCTAAGATAAGCTACGTATGTATAGCTATACTTCATATTGAAAAATGAAGCCATATGGCACTGTTGAGGGTGAAGGAATTAAATAACGACTGGGTCTCTCGTTTCTGCGGCTTTCACGAGTTATCGGACAACGACAGTGACGAAGGTCAGTCGTGATCATAAACGACATTGACCTTGACTCACGCCACGACAGGTGGAATGGTTTAATCTAGAAAGTCTAGGATTATGCGCTTAAACCGCATAAAAATAATGACATACTTTCTCGGAGATGCGCGCACCTCACATACGATACTTATTATAATCGGCCGTGATTACGCAGTTTGCAAACGAAGAGCGGAGGCATTGTACGGAGCTGCAATTGGCTTCCCTAGGTCGTCGCGATGCACGGTAACAATCGGATATAACAGGGTCGAACCGATCGTGACGGGAATGTAGATTAGACCGTCTTGGAAGTCAAGAAACTTGCAAGTCAAGACTCGACGAGTGATAAATTGAATACGTGTGAAAAAGGATAAATAATTTTAAATTGAAAATCAGCATAATATTTTTTATAAAAGTCTCTGGAAATAAGTATCACGATTTGTAAGAAGCTATGGCGTTAGAAAAAAAAGCTAAAAAGTAATTAGCAAGATAATTGGAAAGATTAAAACAAAATCTCATTTCACATAATATTATTAGATATTATTGAACGCCAGATACGCTTAATTAATCTAGAGCGTCTTCTTGAAGAATCAGTAATCACGAAGCAACCTTACGGTCACAAGCGTGTCTTGTAACCGTGCGCGCCGTCTAAAAAGTGCTGCCAGACGTTCCCACGTGACGCGAAAAATTCCGGCGAGGAAATTATACCGTGTTACATTAATCTGCGGGGATCACGAGATCAATAGCGGATCAATAGCGGCGATCACGCCTCACGCGGTAGAGCAGAGAAGAAGATGGAGGACGGGCGGCGGTAGTAGCGGAGGGCAGTGCGCGAGGATCGCCCGGAGGTGCTCCAGGCTCCTTCTCGGTGAAGCGGTAGGGGGTAAGAGGGTAAGAGGGTAAGAGGAAGGTGGAGGAAGGGCGGCGTGGCCGGAGATCCCTGTTGCTGCCGCGGCAGAAGGAGGAGGAGCAGGAAGAACGGACGGAGAAAAACGGAAAGGAGCACGGCCGGCGTCGTAGCGCACCGCCATTAGAAATCATCGCCTGCTCTCGTGGAATTTCAGAATGCGGAAGGAAAGCCGTGAGCGGTGAGAGACAGGGTCCGGAGCTCGGATAAATGAAGGAAGAAAGAGATAGAGACGAACCAATGGACGGGACGGCGGTTGTGCGAGGAAAAGGGTGGGGACGTAGTTAGTAACCAGAGAACTCAGTCGTTCGTTTCAATACACCGACCGGTGCACCGATGCGTTCGCCGCTGATGGCCAACGATCCTTTTTCTTTTCGCTTGCTCTTCAGTCCCGCATATCAACGCATCGTTCCGTAAGCGCGCCAACCCCCGTTTCAACTTCCAGCCTGTTGGTATATACGTGACACCGTACATTCATCGGCCTATCCATTTCTTTCCGTTCTTAATTTCTCCTATATTTTACATAAAGAGTTAAGTCTTGATAAAATAAAAAAGTTCAGACAATAACTCTTAGGTCTAAATAATACTCCAAATAATATACAATTCTATAATATTATATTTGATATTTTTTTTGTTTAAGAGACCTAAGATTATGTACAGATTTAATTAACAGAGATTTATATTAATATAACATTTTAACAAATTCAATTTTCGATATTACATACAAAAGCTTTTCTCTTATCATACATAAATATGAAAATTATTATCATATTTACACATGATAAAAGAAAAACTTTCGCATGTAGAATCAGAAATTGAACTTGTTAAAATGTGATGTTGTCGTAATACAAAAATAATTTTCATATTTATGGCAATACATTTCAACAATTTCAATTTCCAATACTATTTTACACACAAGATTCGCATTTAACAAAATTATCGGTTAGAATCTTTAGAGAAAAGTGAGATCGAAGTGAATTGCTTGGTTAGAAATTGGTTAGAAAATTCGCTTTATAGGTTTCGCCATTCTGAAGTTGCCTACCACTGCAATATATCCAGAACCGTTACAATAATGAGCTATTTTTATAAAGATAACAAAGAAAGAAAGAAAAAACAAAGTCGCAGACTTTACCATCCGTTTAATTTTCTTCGTTATGTCTCAAAATCGAAAATAATTAAATATTAATGATGAGAAATAGTAAATGTTGATCAATTTTATACCGCGAGATAAATACAAAAATAACTCTGTATATAATTAATTTTCAGGTCGCGAAATTATTTATGAAATATACAAACTTGTTATTAGATGCGTTTGAAAAAAAATCACTGAGAAAAAAATAACCAAATTTGATTATAATAATAAAACTTTTAAATTAAAAAATTAGAAAATGTTTTTTTTTTCAAGTCATATAATCATACAAATCACATCATGTATCATACAATTATATATTATATATTACAATATATATACAGTCATACATTATACAAATCTCTCTCAATGATTAGAATAACAAACTGTGAAAAACAGAAAACTTAAAAATTATCCGCGTTTCTATGTGACATGTCATTGTATTTGTCAACGATGTCAACGATATTTCCTTAAAAAATTCTTTCGCTATGATTTATCTGAGTTTGCGATCGAATATAGTCGCGCATATTTAATCCTCCGTCAATGATCTGAATCTCTTTTCGACATAGACGAAATTTTACTTTCAAATTTCTTCGAAATAAAGACGGTATCCCTTCCTAAAATATCTTATTAAAAAAGTATTTGTGATAATCTATAATTATTTATTATGATATAATATATGTTAAAAAGTAAATTCTACATTTTTTCCCATTTATTTTTAAAAGCCTGAAAAAAAACAAATTACAGATGAAGAAAGTAAAAATATGATTACAGATGGAGAGTTACTCTCTGAAAATTTCTTGGAGTAAAATCTCACTCCAAAGAGTTGAAATATTATTGGAAAAGAGAGAAAAATTTGTACTTTTGTGAATAAAAGTGGCAGATTTTCATTCCAACAGAAAAATAATCTTATTCCTTTTTCAGAGTGGATTTTATTCCAAAAGTGTGAACTCTCATTTAAAAAAAGTGAAAATCTGACATTTTTATTTAAGAGTGCAAATTTTTCACTATTTTTTAATAGTGAATTTTAACTTTTTTGAAGTGAGATTTTACTCCAAGAAATTTAAAGAATTAAGAACATAATGGCATTTCAATTGTGATCAACGATGTAACCGAACTATGTCAAAACAATTTATAGTAATACTATTCATTTGTTAAAATCCCTTTGTAAAAAATAAAATGTTAATTAATTAAAAATTAACATTTTTGTATGTCTGAAAAAGCCCATTAAACGTCTTCAAGTTAAAATGAATATTTTATCTTTTAACAGTATAACGGTAAATTCTAATACCGATGATGTGAAATTAATATCATTCCTAATGGGTTCCGTTCTCGCTGTACCATTTGCCATTAGTCATTATTTGCGTGGCTTTACGCGTAATAGCGGTGAAAACGGGTGGCCGCTCGCGTCCGCGCTTTCCAATCCGTGTGGAAAAAAAGCAGTTGCCACGATCGCGTTAGTGTCAATCCCGCGGCCGATACTGGAACGACTTGGGCTTGCCGTCGATGGGCGTGCCGCAGAAATCGCCGCGGCGATTTTATCGTCCGGCTTCTTGCTCGCGCGCGAACGAAATCGCGATTTCGCGGTAAATCGACATTCCGCGCATACTTGCCGACGAAACCGAGCGGTTGCGAGACAGTTATAATACTCACAATAATTTCTACGATTTGGTACCACGACGATCGTCAACGCCGTAATTTTCTCCTAATTCCATTCGACGGTGTATTTCATTTCTGAAATAAAAGAATTTTGAAATTACTAAGAGAATTAAATGAATTTTGCTTGATCACTAAATGTTAATCGGATATAATTATGCCTGATTAGAATCTTGAATACATCAAATCTTGAAGTATTTGAAGTAGATACTGTCATCGAGCATTCCACTTTCTTTACGTCACGATCCCAAGATGATTTCTGAGGTTTTCCTCACAAATTATTTCTGAAACAAACTACATCTCCAAGCTAGATGGAAGCATTACGGCTTATTTGCGGCGAGTTATGGCGCTCGTCTTGAATCCGCTATTCTTTGCACCGCGCACCGCGCCATATAGTTTCTTCTCTTCTCTCCTTCCGCTTCTCTTCGCCGCTCCCGTTCTCGCGCACGTTGCACGCGTGCGCCCGTGCGGGCGTAGGATTCACGGGATATTGCACTCCCGGCTTTCATTATTTGCGAGTTAGCACAATGCGTACTCTTCCTTCCATTATCTATTTCTCTCTTTTTTGTTCCCGTATGTTCATTTCCTGCTCATCGTTGGAACATACGCTTTACGTATATGTTCTTATAAAGAGCATCGCCTAAACTACAAGACCAACATGAATCGCTTTCGGTAATCGTGAGTCAGCTAATGAGAAAAGAAAAGTAAGTCACACGACAAAAATAGTCTTACTGTGTTCTAAAATTCACTGTCAGTACTAAAAATAGTAAAAACCTTATAATGAATGTAATGTGAATTTTTAACGTCTATGTGTACTGATAAGCGCCAATTAAACTAATGTAAATATTTCATACGGAAGTTAATTGATATATGTACGAATAAGTTTTAGGAATATTGGAATGATAACGCTTTAAATGCTCTAAATTACTATGTCTACTTTGTTACTGTTACGTTAAAAAAATGTAGATTAATTTTAATCTCTACAACTTACTCTTTAGCTTTATCTAATTATCAAAACTAAAAAAAAGACGAAGAGTTAGTTGCTCTGAGATTAAAATTTAAGTACATTGTGTAGTAAAAAACGGACATTAAAGAAGTAGAATTATAATTATCGGACTGTATTAAAATTAAATAACATTGCTATTGCGTATGAAAATATTTTAATGCAGGAAAGGATATTGTATAAATCTCGAGATCTGAAACTGAAGATAAATTAATGAGGGAGAGGCGCAAGTTTAAGTTTTAAATGCAAACCGGACTTAAGATATTAAAAATGAAGATTCTCCCGAGACCCATGCAAGGGTAGATATTGTATAGACTACTACTTGCAATGAAAAACGGGGGATGTGCACGAGCGTAGCCAGACGCGCGGCGATCTTTATTACAATGGCTATCTCCTGCGAGATTTTCTCTTCGATCTCACGCACGTAGTGCAACGTCTAGAATCCTCGAGAGTGCGCGGAGGGAGACAGGGGATAATTATTAAAAAGCTGGATTGAGGATAGGGAGTCTCGCATGTCGCTGGCTATATTTATTACTACGAAGAAACTATGAAATTACTGGCCGACTATTCGTAAAACTTTTTCGCAAAATTGAAGTAATCGACTACGGGCCTTTTCTCTTTTATCGAACATCATCCGTATTATTCTCTCCTTTTAAATCACGGTCAAAGTTGTCACATAAAAAAAGTAAGTAGAATATGTATAAGGCCAAATACATGTGATAAAGATCTAATTATTTCTCACAAAAAAACCGAGTGATAAATATCGCGATTTCATATAAATATTAATTCAAATATCGATCGATATAATTTTTATTAAATAAAGGTTTCAGATTTAAGTTAAAGATTTAAATAAAAAATTATTTAATATATTAAAAAACTATTTGGTAATATAATAGAGATATTGAAAAGTAATTCTGAATTCTTTCATATTTTTTGAAAGTTTAGAACAATGAAAAAACCTAAGCTAGACGAAAAAGACTCAGATTACAGAAAATTACGGAAAATTAAAGCAAGTAGGAAAATTAAAAAGTAAAAATCTATTAATTACACTTTAATATATCTATATTAATGATAACAAAAAATACACTATAAATCCAAGAACCGTTGCCTAAAGACTTAAAAATGTTAATATTGCTCTATCATTTATTTTCTTTATATTTTTTAACTATTCTAGGAAGCAAAGAGAGATATTAATCTCTGCGAGATTTATCGTTTCTATATTCGTGCATGCGAAGTGGATACACGGTCAGTTTCGCGCGAAATATGAAAAAGCTCAATATTATATTATCATATTAGCCGGCCGTGTGTGGTGAAGCGTGTAATTTCGCACGGAGACTCATCGCGACGCGTGTCTCCGTCGTCTTATCCACCATTATCCACCATATGACAAATCGCCGTGGATTCCACCACTTGCGACCGCGAATTACGTTCCGTACTAGATTCAGTTTGACTTCTTCCTGCGTCGTCGGATCAAAGATAATTCACAGGCTACTTGATTTTATCAGTCCATTAATATCTGCTCACATTCATTCGGCACGAAAACGATACTTTACATGCGTAAAAGTATAAAACTATCAATATCGTAAATAATCCAATAGGATAGTATTAAATGATAATAATAAAATAAAGAGTATAATACACAGAAAAAGTCGTTTTGCTGAAGTATCAAAAATTTAGACTACGCTAAGAAAAAAATTTGATTAAATTAATCTGGTTCGTTTTTTTTTCTTTCGACATATATATTTAAATCAATATATATTACATTTGATTTACTGTAATTTTGTTGAATGTTAAAATAATTATATAGAACGTTCAAATTAGAATGCCAATACTTTTTACAACATTGGTCACTATATTAGAAATTTGGGTCAACGAAATTATTTTCAGGTCTGTATCTAATTAAAATTTTTAATATTTCAACAAGATATCATTCTTTCCGTGTAATTATAAAATATCTCTTTGAATGTATGTATAACAGATAAAATTATGAAATTATGAACATTATATCACTCTCAACGAAAGAAATTATTTCTAATTTTTAATTTCATTCTTTACTTAAATCCAACTGATTAAATCAGCAAGAGATTATGCAATTCATCATTTTCATACCGTGCACCATAACACGTAGTATGCATATGAAGCAAAACTTTACAGTAATTAAACAGTAATTTTTTAATGATCGCACCGCAATTCGCGGCGATCGGTCGCGGGGCCGGAAGTCGGCCTCTCGTAATCAAAGAAAATGTTCATCGCGCGGACACGGAGTGGTGACTTCAAGCGGCAACAGCACACGCCTCGAGAAGTCTACCTCTAGCAGGAAACCGAGTGGTATTTCATACAAAAGCCATCCTCGCGGCCGGCGTTCCGTTTCTGCACCCACGATCGTGCCGCGTGGGTCGGCTGTTCATCACATCATTAAAAAGTGAAAGTAACGTCGCCGAGTAACTTTGGTAACGGACCGTTCGTTCAGGAGTTATAGCGTCCCTCGTCGCGATCGGCCGGACTTTCGCCTCGCACGACGCACGGATAATTAATAGAATCCTACAATTTTATGTAACATGATAGAACGACATTTGCATTGCGCCGTGGCGCCATAAGAGACGTACCGGAACCATTGCGCTTACATACGATGATGCTTCGACCAATCCGAAGATCATTTATCCTTGGCAAAAGCCTGATCACATAGTAATGATAATTATAAAGGTAACAACTACACGAGTTTTATACGTATTAATTATATGTAATTATATGTCGGTTTTATATGTATTAATTATATGTATTATATAAATTAATGTACATACATAGTTGATTAAGCTATTTTATAGTTATTGTGACTATAAAATAGTGTATTCGATTATATATGTACATTATTTTATTCACACAATTGTGTACATTAATTCTACACTGGAAAAGAAATTGAATTAACCTGCAATGTTAATCAAACATATTCATTCCTATGATTTTTTGTGTATTTATAAAACTTGTATAATCATCACTTTTATATTATACTTGTTGTAACCATTACATTTTGATAGTTGCTATAATTACTTTGTTTTTCTCCGAGTGCACAGTTTAACATTCGTTCAGAATCTGCAAACTGCCACAATGAAATAAGAGTGTCGTTTCAATTTGCTGCCAATTATCAAATGCTATTTCGTCGAGGAATAATTTAAAGTAGTGCGGCCTATTCAATTAGTATTCCCAAGCTCCTGAGTCCCTAGTTTCGTTTCTCAATTCTCTTTCCTTCTTACCTACCAGCCAGCCATTCTTACTCCAGACTTTGGCTTCGTTCATCTATACCGTATCCATAGTGGCAACGGGCTCGTTTTCTCCACGGTAGTACGGCCAGTCTATAAGTACGTGATGCACGCGCGGCGCATCGAGCCGCATTCGCGCGTTGTGTATGTATTTGCACGCGGTGCATTTGTATCTCGTGACTGCCGTGCGCGCGCGTGCACGCGGCGAACCCGCGCTGTAACTGTACACCGTGGTCATAGATGTTAATCTGCCACATAATTGCGCCGATCTGGCCGTTTATTTATTGCTCCGGTTCCGCCAGAGCGGCTGCGCTCGTTCGCGTACTTTTCAGCGTTCCGCCGCGGTTATTGCTACGAATAACCAATAATCGGCAACGGTCCCCGCTTTCACGCCGCCGCGCCGTTTCCACTTATTTAAGATGAAAAGGATCATCGCTGGATCGTATTCTTACGATCTCCGACCTTTGCGTAATCACGATCTAACCACTCGAGTATGAATGCCACGGTAATTCAACATCAGATAAACAGAAAGTCCTTTCGATTCGACACAATCCCTCGAATTGATGTTTGATGATGATGAATCATAGCGATCTTATTCGACGTTTTTATTAACTTTCAGCTACGAAAGCTACATTAAGCTATCAAAGTTCTAAAGCGTCCTATTCAAAGTACAGAATGCAAGGGAATCTCTGCCTTACGGCGATTGATAGAGTGGAAAAGATTTAGCTTTTTTTATCTACCTATTTAGAATCGTATAGCACTAATCCTATAGATTATAGATACAACCGTTCAAAAATTATTACTTTGGATCACAATGA